ACTACTACTACTACTACTACTACTACTACTACTTCTACTCCTACTCCTACTATTACTACTACTACTACTACTACTACTACCACGACTACTACTACTACTACTACTACTACTACTGCTACTACTACTTCTACTATCACTACTACTACTACTACTACTACTACTCCTACTACTACTACGACTACTACGACTACTACTTCTACTACTACTACTACTACTACTACTGCTACTACTACTACTACTACCGCTAATGTGTCCACTACGACCACGACTACGACGACGACTATGACCACGATTAGGACTACGACTACGACTATGACCGCGACTACGACTACTACGACTGCTGCTACCACTACCACTACCTTACTATTACTACTACTACTACTACTACTACTACTACTACGATATTTCGACTACTACGACTACTATGACTACTACTACTACTACTTCTTCTTCTACTGCTACTACTACAACAACAACTACTACTACTACTACTACTACTACTATTATTACTACCACTCCGAGTACTCCTAGTACTGCTACTACTACTTCTACTACTTCTGCTACTACTACTACTACTACTACTACTACGACTACTACTACTACTACTACTACTACGACTACTACTACTACTACTACTACTACTACTACTATCACGACTACGACGACGACGACGCCGACGACGACTACTACTACTACTGCTACTACGTGTGCGTCGAACCCCCCCCGGCCACGGGGCGGCGTTGGCGCCGAGAGGTATCAAAGGTATGTGCTCCGTGGCGGGCGCTTCCTGGCCGCAGCGCTCGGGAAGACTGCAAGGCTGTTGTATTGTGAACGGCGCTCCCACGAGGTCCTTGCCTACCTTCGGGGACCAGAGGAGTTGTCATCTCCTCCACCGGCGGAAGCTGGCGGGAGGGCGGCGGCCCCTCACGAGACCTCCTGCGCCGAAGGATCATTGGGGGTAGTGCGCGTGTGGGAGGGCGGCGGGAGGTGGCGGAAGAGATGGCACATTTTTGGGTTCAGAGCTGCTGGAGTTCGCGAGACGTCCGGCCTGGACGCGGGCCTCCGAGGAGGATGCATTTCCCAGCGGCCGGTCGTTGAAAGTAGGTGCTTTTTGGATCCCCAGAAACCAATCTGCTTCAATCGCCTCCCTGCTTCAAGAACCGATCCGGTTTGGCTGTTCTTCATTCTTCTTTCGGCGGGCCCGAGCCCAATCTGTTTTATCCGCCTTCCTACTTCGTGGTTCTGTCTACTTCTTCCGACCGGCGTGTAGCCTCAGTATGGCCTCGTGCGTGGATCGTGGGCCCGGTTTGCCGGCGAGAGGGGTCGGCGGCGAGAGGCGTAGTAATCGTAGCCTGACTGTGCGCTGCCGTGTGCAAGACTGCGCCACTGTTGCAGGGTGGGCGGCTGGGCGCGAACCACGGCTCGAGTAGGGGATCGACGCCAGAATTGATTTATCCCAAATTGGATTTCGTCGTCGAATCTACAAGAACGACGTCGCATCTTGCATGGGTTCGACGAGAAAGCAAATTCGGGGATAAGTCAGTTTCGGAGTCGATCCCCTACTCGAGTGGGGCGGGCGACAAGTGTTGTGCATAGAAAAGGACGCACGAGTGCATTCACGCGCCACTATCGCATCCAGCGCGCAGGCGATTGCACCCAGGCGCGGGCTACTGCAGGTGCTGTTGTGTTCTGCTCGCCGCGGACCCATCTGCTCCCGACGCACTGCTCCGGCTGAGAACGAAGATGCCAGCCACATCGGAGCGGGAATCAGCCCGAGAAGCCCCCGACGACGCCCAACTATCGGCGCCAGCGGTAAGCCAACAGCCCACTGGGCGTGGAACTAGAATCGGCTATGCGTCACAGTGGCCATTCGCCAGAGTGACCTCTGGTGCGGGCCTTAGCTGCCTCCGCCCATTTTGATACGCAGCACGTGCCGTTCTCGCAACGTCCGTGTCGATACGTTGCGTGTTGGATGAACGTGTTGGCCCACGTTCCGGTGAACGTTTCGCGTCATACCAACAGTTTGAGTCCGCGTGTTGAGCTCCGTATCAATACGCTACGTGCTGCGTGTTGCGTATCAAGCCGTCAGCCCACGGGGCGCGGATCCAGAATCGGCTATGCGTCAGAGAGGCCACTCGCCAGAGTGACCTTTGGTGCGGGCGCATATCCTACCCATTTCGGGCGTCCGAAGGGTGGAGCGGGGCCCGGATGAGGAGGAGGAGGAGGAGGAGGAGGAGGAGGAGGAGGAGGAGGAGGAGGGGAGAGGAGGAGGAGGAGGATGAGGGGAAGAGAAGGGAGGAAAAAGGGAGGAGGGGGAGGAGGAGGGGGGGGGAGGAGGGAGTTGGAGGGAGGAGGAGGGAGTGGCCATTCGCCAGAGTGACCTCTGGTGCGGGCACACAGCGGGTTCCCCAGGGCACTGAAGGGCGGAGCGGCAGCGGCGGCCTGCGCGCTCGGGCTTGGCCTCCCCGCGGCCCCCGAAAATCGCGCACCAGAGGTCACTCTTGCCTGGGGTCCTCCTCCGCCTCCTCTTCCTCCTCCTACCTCCTCCTTTCCCTCCTCCTCCCCTCCTCCCCCTCCTCCTCCTACTCCTCCTCCTCCTCCTCCTCCTCCGCCCTTTCCTCCTCCCCCTTTCCTCCTCCTCCTCCTCGTCCTCCTCCTCCTCGTCCTCCATCGTCGTCATCATGCCTTTTCCTCCTCCCCCGCCTCCTCTTCTTCCTCCTCCCCCTTCTCCTCCTCCTCCTCCTCCTCATCATCTCTTTCCTTCTCCTCCCTCCTCCTCCTCCTCCTCCTCCTCCTCCTCCTTCTCCTCCTCCTTCTCCTCCACCTCCTCCTCCTCCCTCCTCCTTCTCCCTCCTCTTCGGAGGGGAGGCAGAGCGGGCCGTCGGAGTGTCGGCGCTGCGGTCCGCGCGGGATCCCGCGAGCGGCGAAGCCTCCCGAGGGTCGACGGGAGGGCCAGGGAGAGCGGGCGGCGGGCGCGAGGGAGGGTCTGGGGGTTGTTGTTGCTGCTGCTGCTGCTGATGATGATGATGATGATGATGATGATGATGATGATGATGATGATGATGATGGCGATGGTGATGGTGATGATGGTGACGACGACGACGACGACGACGACGACGATGTTGCTAATGATGCTGATGATGAGGAGGAGAAACACACTGACGCTTTAGTCGACTAGTATGCTGGAGCTTGTGCAACGTCACGTCAAGTGGAGGTGGAGGAGGAGGAGGAGCAGGACGAGGGGGAGACGGAGGAGGAAGTGAAGAAGGAATCGGAGCAGGACGGGGGGAAGAAGGGGTACGAGGAGCATGCACAGAAACAATCGGACGGAGGGCGAACCATGGCATTATTGATACAATGATATGTGGAATAGAGGCCGCGGCTGAGGAGGAGGGGGAAGTGGAAAAGGAAGCGTGCGAGGACGCAGTACGGGAGATATGGAGCAATTCTGAGGCGGAGGAGGCCGAGTGAATCAGGAACTAGACGAGGACCAGGACGAGGACGAGGACGAGGACGATAATGACGAGCAGCAGCGACATTAGCAGTAGCAGCGGCGGCAGCACCATCACAAACAAAACATGAGAGGGGGAGGAGGAGTCAACTGAGGAGGCGCGGACGAAGGAAGGAGGAGGGATGGAGTTGCACCCGCAGACGTGGTCCGTTCTTCTGCCCAGGAGCAGAAGCAAGGCGCTGTGCGCTCTCGCTGCAGCTGGCAGGGCAGGAGGGAAGACTGAGGGGCACGGGAGGGGGAGGGGGGCGGAGGGCAGGGCGGCGAGGGGGAGAAGGAGGGGGAGGGGAGGAGGGAGGGGAGGGGGGAAGGAGGGCGAGGGGGAGGAGGGAAGGGGGGAGGAGGGAAGGGTGGCGAGGGGGGGAGAAGCAGGGAGGGAGGCCTGCAGCAGAGGAGGAGGAGACGCCCGACGAGAAGCGGAGGGGAGAACGACGAGGAGGACCACCACGGCCCGCACAGGCCTCGACCAGCTGCAGCCGAGAGAGGGCAGCCTCGATCCGCGCACGCCGGGGCCTCGGGTGCCGGCGCCGTCGTCGTCGTCGTCGTCGTCGTGGTTGCTATCGTCGTCGTCGTCGTCGTCGTCGTCGTCGTCGTCGTGGTTGCCATCGTCGTCGTCGTCGTCGTGGTTGTCGTCGTCGTCGTCGTCGATGTCGCCAAAGCCAAGGAGGTTGACACACCAGCTCCTTTCCCTCTACTGCATGCCCTCACCTTGGGCCATCGTTCTTCCTCACCTGCCCCCTCCTCCTCCTCCTCGTCCTCCTCCTCATTCTCCTCCTGCTCTATTCCCCTCACGTCACCCGCCATCTGCCCACCACCTTCCCCATTGGCTTCGTCCTCCTCTCCCCATTCTCCTCCTCCACCCCCAGAGTTCATACCTATTGACGTTTTCAAAGCGGTGTCCCTGGAAGTTCCGATCATCTCATCGGGGATGTCTCTTCACCACGAGTCGTTCTTTGGCGTTCCCAGGCCCGGCGAGGGCCCCCATCGGGCGGAGACGGCGGATGGTCTCTACGGTTGGTTCTTTTTGATAATAACATTTCTAATCTTCAGAACAGCTGTAATCAATCATGAATTAACAGCTCCATCGATATACACATATGTATAACGTATATGTGTTTATGACCCGCCTTTCTAGTGTGTATATGTATATGTCAATTGTAGGTACTTGATTGTGTATGGATGCAGACACTTGCACACATGTATGTATACATGTATATACAGAGAGAGAGAGAGAGACACACTTATATATACACATATAATTATATACTGTTGGGAACTGTTAGATAGCGTGTCGCTCCGCCGGTTCTGGCCCACCACGCTGCGGCGCGACACGCTATCCTCGTCCCTCCACCCGACAGCGACACAGGCCCCTGATCGTCCCCTTCCTTGGCGGCGCGCGCAGTGGGGTAGGGGCAGGGGGGATGTGCTTCTTAGAAGGCGGCTGATTCTTGGAGAGGGGCCCGCCCTACAGCTGTAGGCAAGGCCCGCGCCTTCTAAGAGGCAGCCTCCTTCTAAGGAGCCCCGCGCCGTCCTCCCCAGACCCTCGACGTCATGTTTTTTTCAATAACGTCGACACAGAGAGGTCTGGACCCACTCCCCGGAACCGGTTTCTCATCCCGAGTCGTTTTTGGTCGGTCCCGACGCCCTGTGAGGGGCCCCCCGCAGAAGCCGAAAATAGCCAAATGCCTCGAGAGGGTCTGGGACTACCCACTACCCCCCTCTGCGCGCCGCCAGCTCCTCCTTCCCCTCAGCAGCGGCATTGTCCGCCGACCCTGTGATCCGACGTTGCAGCGAAATCTGCAACACCGGAAAAAATCACTTCGGAGCCCAGGACCCCATCTCTTTGCGTCACCTTTCGAGCCGGATCGACCCATGTGAGGGTCCCGGGGCCCGAAACTGAGCGAAAACGCTTGCCGTGACAAAAATTGCCACGCCAGGATCTCAGGCATCGCCGATGCCACGACCGGATCTCAGGGATTATCAGGATCTCAGAGATTGCCGATGCTTTGGTGGTGCATCGGCGACGTCGGCGACGCGCCAGCGCGAGCCGCGTCGCCGATGCATCGGCGACGCGACGCGATCCTCCGACCGCAGCTGCTCGGAGCGCCCGCTCTGGGGGGGCCCGAAATTGAGCGAAAACGCTCGTTGTGTTACGTGAGCGTTTTCTTACTCGGCGTTTCGACATTGGGTGGAAGGGGGGGGGAGGGGGGGGTCTGGCTCCAGACCTCTGCTTAGTGCGACTGTTTGCAACAGGGTGTCAATCATGGGGAGACTCCATCTGCTCGAAACGGGCGCCAAAAACAGCCAAGATCTGCTCCAAGGGGTGGGGGGAGGGGGGGGGGCAGCGAGGACCCGCGCAGGTCGGCAAAACAGTGAATAAGAAACCGATCACTGTGTTGCTCTCATCGTACTCGAGGATGGGATCCCAGAGGTAATTCCGAGCACCCTGAAAGTATCCCCACAGCGTCTGCCCGACCCGCCCGACGCGTGAAATCCTTCCAGTTTCGGCAGGGGTCCGTGGTGCTCGAGATTCTGTCTGGTGATCAGGGCTAAAAGTAGGTTGGAACATCACAACTGAACCTGAAGTCGGGCATGTCCCTCTACAGGAGGAATGTTCAAAATGATAAAAGTAATAATGATCGTAGTAATACTAGTGATAATGATGCGTTTAACAAAAATGGTACAAGCAATCCTAATCATAATCCTAATAACATAAAATGGAGCCTCGGGACGATGGTTTGACTACTTCTGAGCACCTGTTGACTCCGTTTCGAGCATTCTCCTGCCTCTCGTCCCCAGTCCCCCTTGCATCGGAGGCCGTGCCCGACCTCACACCGCAGCCCCTGCAGACACTGCCGCGCCAGGGCCTCGTGTGGGGGAGGCCCCCGCGCCGCGCGGCGCCCGCGCCCGCCGCGCGCCCGGCCGCCGAGCGCCCCCCGCGAGGCCGCACCACGCCTTCTCGCCGGCCGTGCTGTCCGAGACGCCGGGCGGCGCCCGCCCGCGCCTCCGGTCTCGGCGGCACGCTCCAGACCCGCCTCCGCCTCCCATCTCCTGCTCTTCCTCCCATCTCCTCCTCCTCCTCCTCCTCCTCCTCCTCCTCCTCCTCCCCATCCCTCCCTCCCCTCCTCTCATCTCCTCATCTCCTCCTCCTCCTCCTCCTCCTCCGCCTCCTCCCATCTCCTCCTCCTCCTCTCCTCCTCCTCCTCCTCCTCCTCCTATCCTCCTCCCTCCTCCCTCCTCCTCCTCCTCCTCCTCCTCCTCCTATCTCCTCCGACCTCCTCCTCCTCCTCCTCCTTCTATCTCCTCCTATCTCCTCCTATCTCCTTCTCCTCTCCTTTTCCTCCTCCTCCTCCTCATTCTCTTGTTTCCCCTCCTCATCCTCATCGTCCTTCTCTTCCTCCTATCTCCTCCCCCACCTCCTCGAGTCGTGCACAGGTCACGATGACGCCGACGTCGCCGATGCACCCCCAATCGAAGAGGAAACAACGCCGGAAACATTTTTTGTATGGCGCTCCGCGCGGTCTTCTCGGATCCGCGCTGGGCTTCCCCGGCGGCGCCTCCCGCGCCGCCCATAGCGCGCTCCGCGCGCCAGAGAGGGGGATCCAGCGCGGATCCAAGAAATCCGCGCGGAGCGCCAAACGTTTATGTTTATTAGTATTTCTCTACCCAAGGGCATCGGCGATGCCTGAGATCTTTGCGTTGCCATTTGGATAGCAGGTGTTTCCGTTCAGTTTCGGGCCCCGGGGCCCTCACATATATCGATCCAGCTCGAAATAGGTGACGCAGGAAGATGAGGTCCAGGGCTCTGCAAATGATTTTCTGCGATGCTGCAATTGTTGTTGCAACGTCGGATCTCAGGGTCGGCTGACGACGCCGCTGCCGAGGGGAAGGGCCTGCGGCGCGCAGAGGGTGGTAGTGGGTAGTCCCAGTCCCATTCTAGTCATGCAGAAGTCACGACGGCAGGTGTTTCGCTGTTTGAGGCCCCTGGGGGCCCTCTCCAGGCCTCGGCATCGTCCGAAAACGACTCCATGACGAAAAGCCGGCTCCCTGTGTGGCGGCAAGTGGCGCAAGGCTGTCGCCACTTTCGGTTGGCTCCTGGGGGGGGTCCCGCGGAGCCGGGTGCAGACGAGACCTCGCTGTCCCCTGGAACGCTGCGAGTTGCGCACCTGTCGCCTCTTCCGTGGGCTCCTGGGAGGTCCAGCGGCGTCGGGGGCCACGCTCACCCAGACGAGACGTCACTGCTCCCTTCGAGGCTGCGAGCTGCGCATTTGTCGCTACTTTCGTGGGCTCCTGGGAGGTCCAGCGGAGTCGAGGGCCACGCGCACCGAGACGAGGTTTCGCTGCCCCCATGGGTGGCTGCAAACTGCGCAACAGTTACGTACCAATTTCGTGGGCTCCTGGAGGTCAAGCGACGTCGGGGGCAACGCGCACCCAGATCCCAGATGGAAACCCGCTATTCCCTGGGTGGTTGCGATTTGCGCAACTGTCACCACTTTCGTGGGCTCCTGGGAGGTCCAGCGGAGTCGGGAGCCACGCGCACCCAGACAGGACCTCGCTGCTGCCAGGGTGGTTACGAGCTGCGCAACTGTCACCACTTTCGTGGGCTCGTGGAGGTCCAGCGGAGTCGGGGGCCACGCGCACCCAGACGAGATCTCGCTGCTGCCTGGGAGGCTGCGACGTGCGCAACTGTCGCCACTTTCGTGGGCTCCTGGGAGGTCCGGCGGAGTCAGAGGCCACGCGCACCCAGACGAACCTCTGCTCCCTTGGGGGCTGCCAGCTGTCCAATTGCCGCCACTTTCGTGGGCTCCTGGGAGGCCCAGCGAAGTCGGGGTGCACGCGGACTCAGACGGGAACTTCGCTGCTTCCTGGCAGGCTGCGAGCTCTGCATCTGTTGCCACTTCCGTGGGCTCCTCGGAGGTCTGGCGGAGTCGGGGGCCACGGGGACCCAGAACGGACCTCGCTGCTCCCTGGCAGGCCGCGAGCTGCGCAATTGTCACCCTTCTTGCTGGCTCCCGGGATAAGGGACGTGAAAACGACCACAGCCCTTGCTTTTCTTTTGTTGCCGTTTTCCAGCCAGCAGAAACAAAGCAGTGGCTGTGGTCATTTTCGTCAAGCTTGGCACCAGGGAAATGACCACAACCACTGCTTCTTTTTCGGCCGGCTGGAAGGCGGCAACAAACAAGAAGCAGTGGCTGTGGTCACTTTCCCGTCCCGCACGGGAGGTCCAGGAGAGTCGGGGGCGACCGCACCCAGACGAACCTCTGCTCCTTTTGGTGGCTGCTGACCAAGCAATTGCCGCCACTTTCGTGGGCTCCTGGGAGGTCCAGCGGAGTCGGGGTGCACGCGGATCCAGACGGGAACCTCGCTGCTCCCTGGGAGGCTGCGAGCTGCGCAAGTGTCATCACTTCCCTGGGCGGTCCAGCGGACTCGGGGGCCACGCGCGCCTGGAGGAGACCTCGCGGCTCCCAGCGAGGCTGCCGACTGTACAATTGTGGGCATCTTCGTGCGCAAGAGTGTTGCATATCTCTCATTGCGTTCGCGTGTAAAGAGCACTCCTTTTACTGGTCGCATTACGGGCAGATGGAGTTAAGGTACGTCTCGGGCAATGACGTGCTATTGTAAAGAAAGGTTGTGGCTCAGACGTTGTTGCAGCCTTGGGCTCCATGAGCTCGAGCGGAAGCCCCCCCGCCCCTGTCCCTCCTACCCGCGCTGCCGGACTGGGGTGTGGAATTCTGGGGGGGGGGGGGGGCGCCTCAGAACCTCGAGGGCCCACCCCCTCTGCCCCCAACCGCGGAGGCTTCCCTGGAGGCCCCCTGAATTCGGCTGGTCTTCCGCCTGCTGCTGCTCCTCCTCGCTGTCCTCCTCACCCCGACCTGAGAGGAAGGCGAGGTGAGACCTCGGCAGTTGGCCTTCTGGTGGCACCCTCGTCGCCACGGTTGGACGCAGCTTGGAAAACTGGTGCGTTTGGGCCCGGGGAGGGGTCTGGGGCGCGATCTTAAGTTGCCGGTCTCTCAACTCGCTTTGGTCCGACGACCTCCTGCCTCACCTCCCCCTCCTCCCCAGCGGGATTGCGCAGCAGCGCATGTTCGGCTAGGGGCGCAAATTGATAGCGCCGCAGTGGTGCAGAAGACGCGCACTTGCGAACGTCGTCCAAAGCTCAGAGTGATCATCACCATCATGTTGTCTGCCACCTCTGTGTTTAGGAGTCGCTTCCGCCTGCTCAATTCGGTCGTCTGCTTCTTATTCTCAGGACGGGACGATCAGCCTGTTTTCTGCATGATCAGCTCCGCATCGAGTTGCGTCACAAGTGCCTACGCACGGCTTCCGTGCCCCCCCCCCCTCCCGGGTGGCATCACATAGCATTTACGGTTACGCCCGTGTCCAGACCAGGACGTTGCCCACGACGGAGAGTGTACGCCATTCCAAAACCGAGCAGCTCTTCCCACTCGTGGCCTCTTCTACATCCTCATCGCACTGCCCCCTCCACTCCTCCCACTCTGCTCTTGCCAGGCAGTGTTCATGATGACTGCGACGCGCTGACCGAGATTAGCTCTGCCACGGGTCTCAGGACAAGCAGATCGAACTCTGTTGCAGGACCCGCGGTCTGCACTTGGATGATAATGTTGAGGATGGTGATGCTGATGATGATGTTGATCTCGATGATGATGATGCTAATGATGCTGCTGCTGCTATTGTTGCTGATGCGGATTATGGTGATGATGATGATATTGATGATGCTGACGACGATGATGATGATGATGATGATGATGATGATGATGATGATGATGATGATTATGCTGATGCTGATGCTGATGCTGATGCTGATGCTGATGCTGATGCTGCTGCTGCTGATGATGATTATGATGTTGTTGTTGATGATGAGACGTGGAATGCGGAGAAATATGCATGATTGTTTGGGCACTCGGAGAACAGGAAGACAGTGAAGAGGGGGAGGAGGATGAGGAGGAGCAACGGGAGGAGCAGGAGTAGCGAGGGGGGCGGAGGCGGATGAGGAGGAGCAGACAGAAGAGGAGGAGGAGGAGGAGGAGGAGGAGGAGGAGGAGGACGAAGAGGAAGACTTGTATGAGGACTTGGAGAAAGAAGAGGGCCAGGATCGAGAAACTAGCAACGGGCATCTCATCTTAATAACAAGAAGGAAGAGGAGGACGAGGAGGAGGAGGAGGAGGAGGAGGAGGTTCAGGAAGAGGAGCAGCATCAGCGGCGCCTGTGCAGGGCTTCATCAGGGGAGTAGCGGAGGAGGGGAGGAGGAGGAGAGGAGAGAGAGGAGGAGGAGGAGGAGGATGAGGCGGAGGAGGAGGACGAGGAGGAGGAGGAGGAGGGGGAGGAGGAGGGAACTGATGGAGCTGACCATACGGGCGACTCCTGCCGAGGCGCCCCTCGCGCCGCCGCGCGCACGCGGCCACCGCCACGGACGGGCCCCGCGCGGCCGCCCCCGTCCCAGGAGGAGAGACTGCCCCCCCAGGCTCGATGCGAGGGGACCCGGGACCCTAAAAACGGAACCAGGTCCCCAAGAGATAAAGCCCACCACAAGGCCCCGCAAAGAACCCTACAGAGGCAGCCTCTCCCCCAGGAGGCGCCTGGCGATTCAGGAGCCGTCTTGCGACAGTTCGTGACTCGCGACCTTGCTGAGTTCCACGAGCTCGCCCAACTTCTTTTCCAGGCACTCTGCCTCCGGTGCTGCCGGGCCCAGGCAGCATGCGCCACCCGGCCCTCGGCCCCGCGCTGCGTGCGCCACGCGTCTGGACTGCCAGAGCACCTTGTCCGCCATCTTCTCCTGGCGGGTCTTGATCATCACAACACCTACGATGCTAACGAGAGTGCACAATGACGTGCTGATGACGTCCATCTTCACCTCGCATCCTCCCTGGCTTTCCGAAGCCTTTCCCATGACGACCTTGCCGAAGAAATCGCGCCTCCCGACCTTTGTCGCGATCCTTACAACTCCAGGAATGAAGACGACATGACCCGCCCCGCGGCTCGGGGCGGCTGCGCCCCTTTCACGTGCGCCGCCCTCAAGGGCCCATCCTGGACCCGAAAGGGGCTGGAGGAGGAGGAGGAGGAGGAGAGGAGGAGGAGGAGGAGAGGAGGAGAAGGAGGAGAGGAGGAGGAGGAGGAGGAGGAGGAGGAGGAGGAAAAGGATAGTCAGGCGGAGGAGACGAATCCAATGACGGTGCCGCTTCAGCAGGGGTAGCTTACAAGGCCCTGGCTAGATTTGCCTTGTTCGGCGCTCCGAGTCGTTTGGATGAACGCGGCAGTACCGTCGGTGTTTGGTCATCGGCATGGCCATGAGCGCAGTGTTATGGTCATCGCCATGGCAATGGGTTTGAGGCGATACATTTTGGGTTCGGAGGAAGAGACTGCAGCGATCCGCGCCCGATCAGGCCTGCGCTCGGGCGGACCACCAGGAGTGTAAGTTTCGTACCAGGGCTGATAAATCGTCAAATGTGCAAGGGTATGACGAACTTTCGGCCCTCTCCTCCCCCTCTTCTTAGCTGCCCGGCGAGGAGGCTACGGCGTGTCGTCCCTGTCACGCACGCACCTCAAGCACATGGCGATGCTGGAGAGGACAGCCAGGGCGGCAGGAGGGGGCGGAGTACTAGAAGCAGCGGGGAGGGTCAGGTCGGGCCGCGCCCGGAGGAGAAGGAGGAGGAGGAGGAGGAGGAGGAGGAGGAGGAGGAGCAGGAGCAGGAGCACGAGGAAGAGGAGGAGGAGTTGCAGGAGGAGGAACACGAGGAAGAGGAGGAGGAGGA